TTGTTGGAAACATTTTTATTCATTCTCATGTATTGAACTATTTTGTAACAACTGTTTCTTTTGTTGTTTAGCACGCCAGTTTGTGTTAGAGAAACCGTTAACTGCATAGAACAGGTTGTACCGTTCGAGGTATTTCGTATATTCGATATAAATTGTTTTCTTTCCTGAATTAGAACCATTTAAATTGAGCGCAGAGTTTGTTTTGATATAATTTAATACGAGTAACTCAAAAACGCTTTGTGTGCTGTACGGACGAACGTAGTCTGGTTTAATCGAATAGATTTTGGTTCGCTATATTGGCTTTCGGTCGTCACAAACAATCTTCCAGGTATTAATAAACTCAAACATCAAACAAAAGGCACCAGAACCAAGAGATTTATAGCATAATAATGACATAAGAATTTTCCGGTTCGATATCAGTGTTTACAAAAAATGGTCATTTTCGACATTCTTTGTGTCAAATGTTTAAAGTAAATCTTCTCAGTTATCGCACGTTCGGCTACAGGAATCATGTAGTTGAGATCCAGGGTTACTGAAAAGTCACTCTACGATTTTAGTGACACTTTTTTGCACGTGTGATGACTTTCACTTCAATCTTTCATGATGGGTAACCGAAATACATTGACAGCAAACAAAAAGAAGCCTTTGGTGCGCACATACTATTTTTGAACATTAAGTTAAACGTATATAAGTAATTAAACTAGACGGTGTAACCAACCATTCTCATGAACCACAAACAACTGTGCCATGATAGTGAGTATTGTCACCGAGTGAGAAAGCCTTTCTAGAGTGGTAAACAACAACAAGACATAATGATCAGGAATACCACAATTTACAATCCAAGCTCATGTTCGTATTATTGGTATGGACCGTTGTCAGTGTTGATGTAACTTCGAAAATATTGCCCTCAGTTTATACGAGCTTTGCGGATGATGTTCCCAAATGGGTGTACTACTAGATAACCTACTGAACCAACGGGATTGTAAGGTATTTACCATCAGCAGCTCATATCTCCGAAAGTGGCTACAATAAGGCTATATAGTTACCAAAAATAACTACGAGGAACCTCAAAACTACTACCTGTCAGAAAATAACAGCAGTCTTACCGAGCGAAGAGCACAGTTCCAAACTACGGGATATATCATTTTGACCCATTCAAAATGGAATGATCAAAGGTATAGAGGGATGAGAAATACTGACGTTAAGAGCAACAAAAGATAATTACTTGTCAAAAAGACGCTTCCAGTAAAACTGGAAACGTAATTCAGTGGAAAGATGAAATGATGGAATTAATCGATCTAAGATCAAACGATTGGGGCAGCCACCGTAGTCAGAGGTCAACTGAATCGGACCGATTTAAAACATGAAATACTTAAGTAGGATTAGCAACTTGTGGGAAACGCAAGGTGTGTAAACTGTTGGACCAAGTTTATATCCTGCTAAATATTAAAAAGTATATGAAAAAGCAAATACGTGACATAGGTATATTAGTGATTAACGAGATGTCCTTTCTAAAGTCCCTACACAGATTCTGAGATGAATGCCTGTTTAGATGTACTAATGACGTAGGTGTCGCTCTTCTAAGATTAGTGACTACTTCTGAATTTTTTGTATTGTAATGCATGTAATCATTAGAATGTTACCTCCCGAAAGGATAGTTACTACGTATCCAAGTAAACGCTTCTTAAAAGCTTGTCATGGAGATGCAACCGACTATGTACTATTTCAAATTTATCTCTTGAACCGTGAGAGTTTGGAAAAGTAATCTGACATTTAATAAAATTGTTATAGTACTATATTGAAGTTAATTGAAATACTTGTTTATCGAAAAGTTTTTCCTCGAAAATAATACGAAGGTACTACTAATGTATTTATAATCTCGTCATTATCTTATAAAGTGCTGTAGTACTGGTGGTATTCACCCACCAGTTTCTCGCGCGAAATCAGTTGACATATTTTCGTGATAAAATATAACACGCAAACGTTTCGAGTCTTACATGTATATGTGTTATAATTTGAGAGTCGGTTATTATTTGTGTAATGCCTCTTTGAAACTAATGGCAGACTTTTCATGGCCATATATTTTTGCCACTTACAGGTAATAATAAGGTGCGAAATTCCTGGAGCTTTAAATGGATTTATTTTGTTACCAGGAAAAGCCGTAGTTTGTATACCTGGTCGTCAAAAATAACATCACAATTTTAGAACTAATCGTCTAACTAACATAAAGTTTGTCTGCAGCTTAATGCCTAGTACGCATGCAGTCAAGTGCTGATATATATTTGGCTGAAAACCTTATCTGTATAAGTTTTGTTCCGAAAGGATATTGTATATCCTAACAATTACGATTACATTTAGTTAATAGATAATAAGTAGCTACCAATTTTTGTCACTTATCAGCATAATAAACAATAACTGTGTCCCAAAATATAACAGTATTATCGTTCTTTTCTTTTTTTCCATATTTCGTATGAAGAAGGAAAGAATAGTATTCCACCTCGGTAAACTATTTTTCATTTTGTCGAACAGTATGAGGTAAAGACATTTAAATTCACTAAATATAAAAGACATGTAGGGTGTATCATTATTTTTATTCACTTAAATCAAAATCTTGATACCACAGAAACATCGCGATACCATGTTTACGTAGAAAGACGAGGACCAAACAACTGGTGTTGAATACCTGAGGGGAACCAGGATGAAGTCACTTCATTGGGTGTATTGGTTCAGTAACCTCTCTTCCCATAGGCCTAGGTCTTTACTCAGAGATCACGACAACACTGCTCCTGTGAAGTTCTGGGGAGATTGTCTGAAAAATGACTATCTCATCCGTAGGCAGCATCATGCTCAAGAATTACCCGCTCGAACTAATGGGAGGTAAGTACAAAAAATGTTGATGCGGAACCTATAATTTTCACAAATGGATGCTGTTTTTTAGTGGGCAGCAATTTGTAAGTAATTTTCACAGATTGAAATCATGAGTCAGTTGAAGCTAGACCACCATTGAAAACCTGGAAGCACTGGACGGCCGTTTCGTCCTAGTATGGGACTCCTCAGCTCAGTGGTCTGATGGTTAAGTGCTCGCGCGCGAAGCCAACAGGTCCTGGGTTCGAGCCCCGCGTGGTGCGGGATCGTGGATGCGCACTGCTGAGGAGTCCCACACTAGGACGAAACGGCCGTCCAGTGCTTCCAGGTTTTCAATGGTGGTCTAGCTTCAACTGGCTCATGATTTCAATCTGTGAAAATTTCTAAAAATCTCCACAAACCCCTTCTGATAATTTGTAAGTAAGTCAAATACCGATAGTCTCAGCAGCTCCAGCTATATAAGCGTAAATTGAAGTTGCCACAATAAAAATATAATAACTGGATACAGGTCATATAATAAGATCCTATTACTTGTTCGTAGTTTTAGCAAGGCCTGAGACTAGTTCTGAGATCGATGAAGTAGCTGTGGAGCCTTTCAGGAGGGTTTCTGTCAAAGAGATGCTGATGAGCTGACGGGATCGTCTAATTCACTGAAATACAATCAGTCAATATACATTGATTACGGGGATCATAAGCTGTCGTAATTAGCTCTGTCCTATTTGACTTATTTTCATGTGACAAGTTGAATGGCAAGCGATTCAGTCTTTGAACTAATCCTTTCCTTATCTTTAATTATTAATCTACCCGGTGCTCTCGATTCTTCAACTCTGTTTTGTGCAAGTGGTATTAGGATTTGGTCCGAAACCCCAGTTCCTGTTGATATACTAAGTGCAAAGGAAGACTCGTATGAGATTTGTAGCAGGACCAATAGAAAGTCCCACTGCAGATTGATAATGGTGAAGAGTAACGGAGCTTTTCCAACCTCTTCCTTTATGGACGGCCCTTTGCAACCAAACTACATTCTGGGGTTTACCCCGTGTGAGGATTCGGGCGCATCTTAATACTGTGATTTTGCTGCCAATGAAGTATACACTACCTTGTTATCCCTTTCCAGAACGTTACGTAGCATGTCTTGAGAGCTATTCAGAACCGTTTTTAGTATTTACTGACAGCCAAACCTGGAAAATATCCCATTTTGTCCTCAATGCCTGAAAAGAGCACCACTTTCCCGAAAAATTCAGATAAGAAAAATCTAGAAGGCCTCGGGACTAACCTTACTCGACCCTCCGAATGACCTTTGACTTGAAGCCTTTGTGACTGAACCAGTGACACCACCAAAGGATTGTTGATATGGCTAGTTGCTGAATTAAATGTAAAAAGGCATTTATTTGGCAGAGAATAAAGAAGAAAAAACAGAAAATCGCGTGTACATTTTTTCATATTCGGAATTTTCAAATTTTCGATCTCTTCGGTCGAAGCGACAGTAACGGCATCTTTCATATGTTCTTTAAAACACAGCCTAACGATTAATTAAACCTCGTCGTTACTCAAGAACCAAGTTATTTTTGAGAATTGAAATTGTGGTGGACCAGACAGATATGAACACGAAAAGTATCAACAATGTTAATAAAGATCAATAGTAATATTAATATATACCAGTTAATTGTTACAAATACAATAAAAATTTGGGACGTTACTTAAGTTGACCAAATGTTGCGTGTTCTGATTGGGTCTGGTATTGTAAATCCAAAATTATAAATGCTTGGTGATTCTGAGCGGGTTGACGAACTCTCCAGTGATATAATCCAACGTAGAATGTGATATATTCCAATTACAGTCTATAAATAATGATAGTATTTGATTAAGAATTCAGTTAACTCAATCACAAACGAAGATTGAACGAGGAATGTGTGAGTAGTAGTGTATTTGTTAGCCAGCAAGAGTATGTCACGCTATGTCAGTATCATAACGGAAAGTGTGTTCATGGTCATTTACTAAAAAACAGTTACAGTCATTTAGTGTTAAATATACATACAGTGGAAGGTTGACAAAACAAATACAAATAACATTGAAAACTATTTACAAAATAAGCTTGTCAGGCCTATCTCCACAAAATCAGTAGCGCTGGTTTTAACAGTGGCGTTGCTTATACTCCTCCGAAGGTGTTTTTGTCATTCATTTCAATTTAGTCGCGGTAACTGTGTATGAACTGATAGATTTTTGTAGTCACGCCCCAGGATGATAAAACATTTTATCGTGAGATAACACTTTCGTCCATTATTTCACGACATGGTGCTGAATATCCTTAATCTCCCAATTTTGGGTAAAGTTTGACCCATTTTGTGGAAATTTTGGAGAAGCCTCTATAGAAAAGTTTTGGGAAATGGCATTAAAATCTCAATATTACCTCTTAACATTGGTGAGGGTCATTTGGCTTTGGGGATCCACTTATAATTTCACCAAACTTGGGAAATTGGGTTGTCGTCGAAGACAACTCTCGACGTCACGTTGAACTCACTGTTAAAAATAAAAATGTTCATTAGAATGCGTACATTATAAATGTAAATACTTGAAATATCTAAAGTATCTTCTACCTCAACAAATGTACGACGATGGTTCCAAGGACGTACCTAACATAGATTCTACGCGGTTTTGTGAAATTAATGTTACAACCTACTCACAATTGTGAGTAGGTTGAGTGTTCAGATTCACGTTTGTTTATTAAGGATTAAAGCTCAGCCTCCTGTGTTTATTCTTTTCCGACAAGCTCCTATGAGTTTCTAGTCTTTCCACGAGCTGGAGGTGCGAACAACACTTCTTCACGTAGCAGATCCTAAGAGTTGGTAGTTTGGTAAGAAAACATATATACAAAGGGTATTTTACTTGTCCTTGGTTTCTGAGCTAGATTTTCATGTTCACTGGGTTGTCATAATCTAGTAAAGTGAAAAAAACGGGATATTTGTCAGATATGAAAATATTTATTGGGATTTTCTACATCGAAATCTAATCACCCCTTGATACGCGATAACTTCTTAAGCTGCCTTGTGTGTGGCAAACTCCAGGTCTCTAGGTTTGCGTGGGTCCCTTTCTATTGTACTTATTTCAAGATGTATGAGTCACTTTTTGAACAGGAGATGAACGTGAACGCAGTTGTAAAGTTTGAATCACACTAAGGTGATGTATACTATGGTGAACATGCTTGTATCCAGTATGTTAAATGTCCGTCTTAAGGTTCATAGGGTTCTAAAACTTTTAGCTGCAGCTGCACCTCTGTGAGGCATGGTCTTGAGGTCGTGGCTCACTATTACCCGATCATCCCAAAACAAAACTAAGATCACCAACACCTCCTCCAAGCGCATTTTATTGTATCGGCAATGTGCATGTAGATACGTTTCACCACGTCGATAGGCATTGACTATATTTTAGACCAGCTAAGAGGAATGTTTGGTCCGAGCTGTAGTGCACATGCTTCTGCATCCCCGTTACTTTTCTCCAAATTTTGAATTCATCACCATAAAATGTAGATGTAAAGGACCTAGAACAGAGCTTGGTGGTACTCTACTAAGTACTGGTTTCGATGAGGAATATTTGAAATTTACTCTTACTTTTTGTCGACGACCTACCAATAAATGTTTGATCCGTTTTAGAAAAAGGTATTTCAAGCCCAAGCTTTTCCAGTTTTGGGAAAAGTCTGTTATGCGATACTGCATTAAATGATTTACTGATTTCAACGTAAACAATGCCAGCTGGTTTCCTATTATTGAACGAATCGGTTCATCACTCTCTTGCTATAATGAGGTTAGTTATGCGGGATAGTCCTTTACTGAAACCATGTTTCTCACTGACTAACAAGTTGTTAGTTTCCATGATCATAATGGCTTTTTTAGTTACTCTCTCCAGCGTTTTAACTACGACGCTAATGAGGCCGATAGATCTGTAGTTTGATAGGTGTTGTCTTGATCATATCTTGTAAGTTGGAGTGACAGTTGCATTTTCTCAGTCCACAGGTAACTTACTCTGGCTGAGTAGTATTCCAGAGTTCGTTGTCAACTGGGTAAAAATGTATAATTTAACTTGTCTCAGGATTTTGGGGTACAGCCGTTTCAGTCCTGTTGATTTTTCCATTTCTAAAATCCTTCGTACTTTTAGTACGTTCTTTTTTGATGGTTTTGAGAGTCGTAGTACGTGATACGTAAGAAGCAGCTTTTCCACACTCGTCTGCCTAGCTGGTAACGGATTTAAACCAAATAGCATCTTTTTTCTTCAAAGTTTGAAGGTTGTCATCTATCACAACTGTTTTTTGTTGATATATTGTCAATAAAGTCAGTGTGTTCAATCTTTGGTTCGTGAAGTTGGGAAGTATAAATGTTTGAAATGTCATTCATAAATAATTGTGGATAAGCTTTATAGAATTGCTATGCAGACAGAAACGTTTTATTGTGAGAATTCAGCTGACTCACAGTTTAAGGATTTTAGCGCTGATTTCTGTTTCGTAACCAGCGCTGGTAGCAATACAGAAAGTTGTATCTGAATGTTTTATTTAATTGATACAAATTGTCCCAGTAATTCATGTTCACATACATTGTAGTTAAACTTTGTTTTCAAGCATTTTGTAAAATAAATTACTCCATATTTATGTACCATAAGCTCTTTAATGAACATTTTCATTTTATATATTTCAGAAACAGTATAACATCCAATAAACTACAAAATGAAAGTTGATGATGTTGAACAAGATTGGTTGTTTTATCTTGCCCAACCAGATAAATTATTATCGGATATTGAGGGTCTAACTATATCACATCAGTTGGAGTTGCTTAAACAATCCTTATCACAGGCTGAAATAAGTGAAAGAAAAACTAGTCTCACTAATTGTGAAAATAATTCAGTGGACAACTTCATCGGAGAAAATGAAACTATGAATCCTGATGACATATTTGTCGAGTCGTCTAGGTTATTCAAAAAGTCAAAAGTTTTGGATATAATGTCCTTACAGATTGCTGCTAATCTAAAATTCAATCTAAATCTTTTTCGAATCATATCAGAAATGCCCATTAAGCTTCTTGCACGTCTCTATAGAGTGCTCGTCATGAGTACTTCAAAATTTTCATCAGTTTTACAACCTCTGTTTGAAAATGCGATAAATAAAGAAAATATTTTCATTATAAATCCTTACGGATACTATAGATGGTCTCAGTTAAATCCTATGACAATTTATGGTTTAATGTCTTACCATATATGGTGCCTTCATGTATGTTTGTGAATTCACATGATATTAATATAGTTTAGGTATCTCATACATCCAGTATGCTGCCACATCCCTTTCGAAATCTTACTCCTATTGTTTCTGGTTTAACTGAAATTCCTGAGGTGGCGTTTTTTGCGGATAATCGCGTGGAAGTTGGCGTTGTTCTCACTCGCATACAAGAGTCTGTAAATCAGCTAAACGAAATCAACAGTCTTTTGGATGATCTCAACATAGCTAGACCTCTTCCTTCAGTGTTTTCAGCGCTGAATTCCATGTTTCCTACAGTTTTTGAACCAAAGATTAAGTCTACTCAGGATGATCAGAACCATAACGGTCTATCAGATTTTGTTCTTAATAACTCTATACCTCTCTCTAAAAGCTATCTTTCTGCATCGCTTAACTTTGTACTCGGAAGGTATGCCTTTCAGCAGCAACAGTTTACTCAGTCACAGAAACTTTTTCAAATCGCTTATGATGAAATGCAAGATCAAAAGGTATTTTACATTTATGTAGTTATTCGGTGAATGACTTTATCATTTTATTGACAGATGTTCAAAAGCAATAATTAACTTGCACTACATGGTTTATATTACAAATGATAAATAACTGTCTTGTTATTTACCAGAAATGAAAACAACTTTCTTTTTCTCATCCCTTTAGACTGTAGCTTTTAAAGATTTTGAATGTCATCATATTTTAGAGATATTTCTTTTGGATGAATGAGTTGAGAGGCATCGGTAATATAATGGCTGTTGCATTTCACAAATTCAAAATTAGAAAGTTTGACTATGTGGGAAGGCTCTGACTTGGTTGGAGATGTTGTAATCTCTCAGTGTTTTTTTGTAATGAGGAAATGGTCACTGTAATTGGGCAATGACATCATCAGTATACGGTTGTGGAGGTCGTTGAGTTTTGTTGAGATAACAGACCGGGTTAAGTTTAGCAACCGTTGGAAACTTGCAAAGCTGTTTCGTCCAGACGTGACGAGTGGAGTTCAGTTGTGTTAGATACGAGGAAGTCACCCACATAAAACAATAGAAAATGGTCAAGCAGTATTGTGGATTGATTGAAGTTAGACTAGTACACCATTGAGTCTCAACTCAGTGGTTCAGAAGTTAAGTGTCCGCGTGCGAAACCATACGTCCTGGGTTCGATTCCCGATTGAAGAATCGTGGATGCACATTGATGAGGAGTCCCGTACTAGGTCAGAACAGCTATCCAGTGCTTCCAGGTACTCAGTGTTTATCTAACTTGGACCCTTTATGATCTCGTTGAAACTTATCAGTTTAGGCATCCGACTTTGAACTATAGTTTCAAACCGTAAGATTGAAAGTGGTGAGAACATACAGGTGAACCAAGTCATAGGATTAACTTAACAGTATCTTTTAAAGCTTTGTGTAAAAACCTCTAGGAGTCATTAGGCACCACGAAATCGAATAATAATATGGTTGAACTGTGAATCGGTTCTCGTAATTTTTAATCCATTGTAATGCATAGTGTTGTTTTGACAACTGACTCTTTCCATGTTATACCATCTTTCCCAAATTTCCAATTATTAACTTGTATTCACTTATATTTATTTAACTGACCTTTAGTTTTCATATATAAGTACATTGACAAGTATATACACACGACCAGGTTGTTCGAAGTGTATTGTGCAAGCACATCAAGTTTCACTTGTTTTCGTTGAGTCTGTTGTTCAGAAAAGGTTACTAATCAACTAGTGAGTAGTCTCAGTTTCTGTTTATGGTTAATTGAGTGTTTGCAGTCAGTAGGTAGGAGAGTGATTTGATATTTGTCAAGTTCGATGTTGTTATAAGCTGAAATGATCGTGAATCGATCACTTCTAACGGGTTTAACAGTTGATAATATAATTTAAATAACTTTTTTCCTTCAATTTAAGAACCATATCCACTCACTTGAGTCAGTCGCATAAATTGAGCTTGAGAGATTTTTGTACAGGTTGTTCTTCACAATTTACAAGTTTTATTTGCTGATTTGCTGAATGTACGCAAATCACATATTGTATTCGATCTTAGTTTTATTTTTGATTTGGACGCATAAACAGCACAAACGGGTACCAAAGTATGTATGATTCACACAAAGAAGTTATTATTCAATTTGTGTGTAATCTGGGACACTGTTCGAGTACCAAAACAGAGTCAGGTAGTTTTTTTAGGGGGCCAGTCCTCGAGCATTTGACATGGAGGTCTAATCCACAAGGCAGTAGAGCAACGTTAGGAAATGTGATCCCATGGTAGCCGGTGACCAATGATAGGTTCATACACCATCTGCTTCCTCACGATTCTGGAACACATGTGCAAGATTAGTTTGGAATCATGGTTTTCAAATTCCACTCAGTGAATCCTCCATACTCACCAACCCAGTTAAATCGCCAGACATTTGCTTCTCGTTCTCGATCTCGTAAGCAACACCCTTGTCGTGAGAAGGCGGTGAGTAGGACTTCTCTGTTAGTGGCTATATACACATGTCCATGTGGGAGCATTTAGAGAGGGTGAGGGGACCCTTTTCACTCTCTGCAGCACCAGGGCATTTGGTGACCGATTCTAGTTTACTTTTAGTTTATAGGCACCAACATCAAAACTTAGCTTGATAATATCAAATAAACTGAGCATTTGATAGAATGTTCATAATAAAATTATGATATCTCAGTGAGTAGAAGTTTAAATTTCTGAAGTCTCACGACATAGTTTATATTGCTTTTTCAGAGTTTAAATCATTATTCACTTACTCTTTACATATCTCCAGATATCACAAATATATCAATGATTTTGCGTATACTTATGACGAAATATTAGGCTAACCGGTTAGTCGATGGCTATGTATAAAATTTATATAAAACCATTTACTTCTGTAATACATTCTGTCTCAGAAGGAAGGAGTTTTTAGTTGAGTATTTTATCCTGGTCTAGTGAAGACAGCATACATACAAAAGAGAATGTCGAAGTTTTGATAATTGGAATATATTCCACTAATTTGGCACAAAGTCAGTAAATATGTAGTCAATAAGTATGTAGAAACGAATAATGCGTTTCTATTACCAGACTCCCGGAATGCTCTATCCAGCATTCGAATTTATGACCTAAAGTCTAAAAGTCCAATACTTTTGCATATGAACCACCATTCTGCGCTAGGCCATGGGATTTATTGGAGAAGTTTAAAGGAAATACTTTAGTAAAAGCAATTTAAGATGTATGAAGATGAGATAGAACGGTTTGCGAAAGTGGAAATTATTTTCTACTGAAGTTTTGGAGAACATGCTTATATTATCTTATTACCAATTTTTTGCTTAAAATGAGTAAAGTTGACGAAACTAGGTTCCTATTGTTTTTTAAAATTATGCAATAGAACTGTTGTACTTTTAATTTGATAGACACAACCGTGTCATCATACTTTATAGATTCACTTTCTACGTTTTTTATTTTTGCTAATTTATTAAAGTTATCCAGTGTTTCGTCCTCATGTTATTGTAACCGACTTTTTTGAAAATATTTTCTATCGTCTAATTTACAGTTTGAATATTTAGATGAAGCAGGAGCTACACCGAAATTACTACAGGCTTATTTAAGTGCTTGCAAATCATACACATCTTCAGACTGTATTGCAAACGAATTTTCACTTTTCCAGTCTGACAATCAATTTTTAGAAACATTTTGTCGTTTATTAGAAGTAAATACATCAGATTCTCATCATAAAGATTCAATCAATATATTTTGGATTCAACCATTAGATACATCTAGTACAACATCCGTCAATATGGAATCTAAAGTTTGTAGTGGATTACTTACTACCATAGAAGATCATCTTTATCAAGTTTTACTGAATGTGGACCAATTTTTCATTGATGATTCATCTAATCCATATATTCCAATTAGTTTAGGAGTTCGTAATAAATTAGAAAGTTTGTGCTTAAAACAACTGCATAATTGTATTAGTTTACTTGATAATACAAACGATACTGCACGAAATATGCCTTCTACAAAACAATCAAAGCATACTAAGAAGTTATTATCAAATGATAAAATGTCAATTTTTAACGCAGTTCATCAACTATTCACTAAGGTATGTGCTATGTTCTTGGATATCTTTTTGATTACCTACAGTGTAGAATGATGGTTGAAGGTAGTCAACAAGAAACCCTGTAGACCTTAGGTTTCATGCTATTTGGTACTCGTCAGTAAGGTGTACCTGTAATCTTGAGGAAACTAGTACACCCTAGCTGATTCCATCCTGTCACCTAAATTCACAGTTAGTTACAGTACTATTGAGCTATTTCGGCCTCGACTGACCTATATGACTGAATTATGTTTGTGATGGATTGATCATTGAGTAATGACCAATGTCGTGTATATCAAGTTCTTAATGCTGATCGAATACTATCGGTCAGGTTGCAATGTATTCACTAGTCTAAATTACTCAACATCACTTGCACTATGTTAATATGTAAGGTGATGATGACCACACTGCAACTTGATCTATAGAATTCGGTCAACACTAGGAAAAACTTGACATATATGACACTGGTCACTGCTTAGTTAACAATTAATTACTAATTTACTCTCCCCATCTCTTCAAAAATGTGAACTATGCCAATCTGAACTGATAGACATTTATGTCCCACATATCAACTATGATTGACAGATTTTATGTACTAGTTTTTATACAGTACTTCTTTTTTTATGAAAGTTAATCATGCAACGCATATATCGTATCCATAGTTCAAACCATGATCTGATCATAGACTACCAATCTAGGTTGTTAAAATCCTGGAAGTATTAGATGGTTGTTTCGTTTCATTATGGGACTCTAGCAGTTCACATCTACGACCTCTCATCTGGAAATCAAACTCAAGACTTTAGTGTTCATAATCTTCAATATAGAGACGTGTTGAAAAAGTGAGTGGCCAAACAGATCAATTAATTTTCTTCCATAAAAAGGTATCTCACACTGCAAACATTTAAACTGAAGAGGAAGAATTTCAGGCAATGAATGTTTAAAAAAAAGACGAAATTTATTGTTTCATTGGTTAATCCTTGTACATTTTTCATCTTTCTAATTTTTATTTGCCTACTTTTATATTTAATATTTCGTCATATTGTTTTATTTTTCAGGTACATATATGTAATACGGTTGACCGACTAATGTTTGAATCTATAGAACTGCCACTTTCATTATCAACTGAATTGTTAATGAATATTCCGGAGAGAAATTTTGAAAGTTCAACAAAAAAAGAACACAGGTCATCGTCTTCATTGTCTTCATCATCATCATTTTCTCCTCCATTTATCGATGTAATAATTGGACGAGAATTTCTTTTTGATTGTTTAACTTCTATAATGGAAAAGCTGTCTACTAAAAATTCGAACTTATCATCTTCATCTCAATTTATTGTTATATGTCAATATGTAAGATATTTGGTTCAAGAAGGGATTTGTTTACTTGGTAATTTAGTGCATAAACCACTTCCTAAATCGAATTATGAGTTAAATTCAATACAAAAGAATTATCAAGATTTATTAAAAACACTTGTATCACATAAATTGGTAAGTCTGTTAACTCTCTAGTTAAGAGTATCTTACTTCTTTCAGTTGTTATTGTTTCGCTTATTCTCATTTAAGGCAAAAAACACGGTTTACATTTGTTAGTTTTTATTTTTATAATCACACCTGTACTAGTATCATTGTGCTATGACCTTATCTTATTGTTGAACATTTTGCGCATAATACGGTATACAACTACGGCACTCGAATATATAGATCCCACAGTCGCAAAGTCAGAAGACAAAAGAAAGCTGGGGAAAAATGAATAATTTCAGATCCGTTTTATATTGGGAGGATTAACTCATGAAATTGAATATTCAAATAAATGTCGGTAACCTTTAACATCCCTTCCCTAAGAATTACCACTACTTGTGTATTTTCTTGAATTTAACCAACAGATTTTAAAGTTGTCTTTGGATTTTAGTTCACGTATTTTGTGTTTCCATTCATCATAAAAGCCTGATTATCGAAAACTAGTTACTAAAATCTATCATTCTGGGAATTCTTATTTCGAAAGCTAGTGTAATATACATATGTAATAACAATATCCATATATTACATATAAGGGTAATAATAAATAATTTACCGCTTCACCGACATGGGAGATGATTCTGCAAAAGTGGAAAACATGGAATCTATGTAAATCGCTTCAAATTCCCTGGTACGATCAAGGGTAGGGAGAGTCAGTCCTTTCTTGAAACGCTCTCACATGGCCACGCGTATACAGCCACTCTGTTAGGGAAGTCCTATTCACCGCCTTCTTGCGGCGGGGGTGGCGTTTATGAAATTGAGGAGACGAAAAGCGAATATCCTGCGCTTTAACCGGGTTGATGGATATGGACGGTCCACCTAGGGGAGTTGGAAAGCACTCATTCTAAATCAATGGTGCACATAGGCTCCAGGATCCTGAGAAAACAAATGGCGTATGAACCTGTTGTTGGTTACTGGTCACCGTGTGACTGCATCTCCTTACCTTACTCCACTGCCTTGTGGATCAGACCTTCAGGTCGAAGGCTCCGTGGGTGGCCCCCTAAGAAAACCACCTGTTTCGGTTTGGGCACCCGGGCAGTATCATAGCCCATACACAAATCAGGTGACTTGTGTGGCGTATGTGTATTCGGTGATCCTTTGTACCAATATTTATGTGTTCGATTAAATAAATAAACTACATAAACACAGTGGGATGAGACTATTGATTTAAATACTAAAGTTGTTTATTTACTGATAGTATCATTGTTAGTAAAATATATTCAGTATTTTACCCAACTTTTCTAACCATTGTTAAAAGTAATCGTTCACACCTTAACTAAGTGGTCTGCACCTACTAACATGGCTCAGTTTAATAATCAGTGACTTTATAGACTGATGCCAAGCTTCAGTTTGGCCGCCGCTAGCCTTCGTTCAACTTACCTCTTCTACACCAACTAAAATAAGTAACACATGCTTAAGCCACCTCAGTGGATTAAAAAGATTCGTATTGTTTGCCTAGTACATTCGTTCTATTTTGGGCAGATGGATATCTCACCTACTCCACAGGCCACACAAGTTCGTAAGAGCAACACTGTGGAATTTGCTTGGATCACATTCATATAGAGATAGTTCATGTTATATATGTATTGTCACATACTTTCTTTTATTCAGATGGATTTCTTACCAGAATCTTGCGGAAAATATATCCAGTCTATTTTCCAAGCAGTAAATTCTGGAAGTTCGTCGGAAACGGAAGTAAACTCCAACCCTATTTGTGCCTTTATTCCTGACCTTCTTTCTGACCTACCTAGTCTAGATATTGATATTGATTCGAACTTATATCAAATTGATTCGGATGGCCTAAATTCTCTGGGACTTGGATTCTGGACAGACTATGAGGTATATCAAAATACTGCATCGTTCAGACAACAGGTACCCAGAGGCGGATCCCCATTTGGGATTGTTGGTGATGTGGATATGCGCAGCTTAGCTAATCAGCATCAGTCTCCATCAACATCATTTCCTCATATGTCTATTCCACAATCCCGTGTAACTGGTGGACATGGACCTTTTGTTCATCAATCACTTCAAACTTTTACTAGAGAAAACCCACTTGTATGCGATCTTCAAGTAATACGTCATCTTTTAATAACAAGAAATCCAACCGATGTAAATATGTCAGTCGATTATCTATTAAGGTCAGGTATGACACCAAATGGAATTTTAGAATTAAATGGTTCGTGGCTCCCATCTTTACATTATTTAGCTTCATTGGAGATAGTCGGACCACATCCTATCAATGAGAACAGTGTAAGTTATTATGTATTGATCTATTTCATTTATATACTCTTCTCTAACAAATGAATCAAGTTGTTTTCAATAAGTAAATACATTCCCAACATAGCTCTTGGTCCAACAAGTGATGATTTCATGAGTGAAATATACCCTAAAAAGTGTACCGAATAGCCAGATTTATAAATTTGTACTTTGTAAGTGATTTACATCATTCCTTCAATATAGAATGTGTCGACTGCTTCACTTATCTTGGGAGTCTCATCAGTCTCTATGGGTTGGTGTCCGACGAAGCATTTGCACGGATTCAGAGGGCTCAATTTGCCTTTACCAAATTGCGTCACTTGTGTCGTGGGTGAGAAATCCGTCTATCAACCGAAGTAGGAGTTTGCTTTACGGCAGTTCGCTACGTTCTACTTTTTGGGTGTGAAATATAGTCACTAAGAAAAGAATCTTCACACTATACTAATGTTCGATCGTAGGTGTCTTCGAAGCACATTTCTCGTATATTTTGAGACCACCGAGTAAGAAATCTTGGGATTAGGAATGGAATGCTAGATAAAGATGGCAGATTAATTGATAAGGTGGTAAGTCTTCATTGATTGAGGTGATTGGGTCTTGTTTTACGTATGTTCGACCACTGTCTATCCCGACGGCTAATGTTGCGTGGTGCAAGGTGTTGCTTCAGGACTGGCCTGCGTCAACACCTGAACTTGAGGGTAGGGAGTGAAGTAGTCGAGCGCATCGACAACTTCACTTATCTTGGAGGTCTGATCAGCCCTAATGGGTTGGTGTCTGACAAAATGTCTGTACGGATCCGGAAATCTCGTTTGGCTTTTGCCAACTTACGTCACCTATGGCGGAGGTTAGATATCCGTCTATCAATTAAGGGACGAGTATAATGCGCAGCAGTTCATTCTCCTCTACTTTATGGCATCGAAACGTGGCCACTAATAGTAAAGATATTCGTAAGCTACTGGTATTTGACCACAAATGCCTTAGAAATATTGCTGACATCTGCTAGGATTATCGGGTAAGTAATAGTGAGGTTAGACGCATGGTATTAGAGAATGATGGTAAGTCAGTTGATGAGGTTGTGAATCTACATCGACTGTGAGATGGTTGGACCACGTGTTACGTATACCTGAAACCGATTACCATGACGTGCAGTGCCGACTAGTGTTAGGGGAGGCCAAACCGAAATGCGGCGTCAGTCTTTGAAGTCACTAACTTCCAGCCTTAGCTATGTTGTTAGATGCAGACTACTTGGTTGGGGTCCGCGTGACTATCGTAACCAGTGGTTAGAGACCTTGAATGACATTGCTCAAAATCTTTTTTAAGCGGCTCAGATGCATTCACTCTTTGTTTTTTAAATCCTAATTTGTTAAATTCCTCATGATCTTTTTATTTCACAGATTTATGTTTTCTTGAATCATTATTTTCGATACTTTGTCTTTTCTATTACCACTAATACTGTTACTACTTATATTACTCTGGGATTTGCCATGACAATTTCATCTCTCCTGTGCTAAATGGGGTGTGACAACTTCAGCCGAGCTATACACGTACCAGGTTCTACCTTGCGTTTGAATGACCGACTAATTTTAGTCATTAATCTATGGTCAAAGTGTTAAAATATACATTATTTTTGCTATTTTTGTGTCTCACTTTAAGTCAACCAATCCAATCGATTTATTGCTATCATCATCCGGAAATATTATGTGGGGGATTACAGTATTAATACAATTGGCTAAAGGTTCATCCATAATTCGTCATGAAATGTCACCATTCACAGGAGCTAGGGCTTTTCTACTTGCTGCTTTAAATAATCTGGCGTCAATTAATCCTATCGTACCGCCTCCATCGTCATCATCTGTTAATCATGTTACAACAACATCCGGTCATGTAGTTGGAAAACAATCACGTCCGTGCGATGCTTTTCAATGGATTCGTGCTGGTATCAGACATGAATTATTATTGGTTGACTTACTGGTAAGTTTATCGAAATTCATCTATTTGCCAGTGTTACTTTTTTCGTAGTTTCACAAGTTTTAAAGCATTGGATCTCTCCTGAATGGGTTCATAGAATTCCCTTTATATGTATATGTGAGTTATGGATTTTGAAAGCGTTTAAGTGTTTCCTCATGATGTGGAACTGCTAAGTTAATAATATTCGACATGGGCTTACATTTTCCGGTAAGATAAATGAATCTATTGATGAGATTTTAAGGTTAGAGCGCGTGTTACAGTTTTCAGTCACTAATTACATGACTGCCGTAGGAGCAACGTAACCTTAGACAACTAGTGGAAAATAGGAAACACTGAACAGTTTGTTTCGTCGTATTATGGGTCTCAGTAGTGCTCACCCATAACCCTAATCTACTATTGTGTTTGTGTGTCGACTTAACTTGAGTCACATCAATTTTGGATAATATTACCTCTATTTTTCCAGTTTTTCGAACTCTACTTGCTACAAGTCATCAAGTGTTATTCAGTTTCTTTTTAAACAATGTTAAACCATTATTTATGATTTGTTTCATTAATGATGATGGTTTTATATTTTAAAGCATTCGTTATAAACTTACGTAAGATCTTGACAATATAGGCGTGTTGATTGATTTTGTTTGTTCTTCATTTTTACACCTTTTTCAAGTTTAGTTCTCTTTATTTTAATAATCGAATAGAAAGTTTTACCAGTTTCATAATGGTGTTAATATATCTTTTGATTACCTTGTTGAAGACAATTGGAATGAACTCCTAGGTTTATGATTCATAGGTATTGTTTCATTTATGTGTATATGTTAGAAAAATCTGTTATCTAACTTGTCTTATTTAGTGATGTTAAGTTCATTCAGTTAATTGTAAATTATGAAAAATATATTTTAAATGTTATTGTTTTTTTCAAATTAAAACAATAAAATAAGGAATTCTTGAATCCATCTTCATTTAATAATTTCGGTGGAAATAATAATCAGTCACATTCAATTACAAAATCAACTCTTCATCCTGGACAAGTATCATTAAATGATCTAATTAGACGAGTTAAAATTTGTCTGTGTTATGCTGCTGGTTTATCATCAAATGCGAATTCTTTAGAAACAAAAATGGAATCCATGAACTTGATTGCTTTGTCTAAGGAGTTAATTGCTGCAGCCACTTGTTTCTTGTTAATGGTCAGAGTGAGTTGTAAATTTTCAATGTTCACTATAATATAATATCTGTTGAACTGTGTAGAGTTATCGTAGTCAGTCAGTGGATAGATAGTTGAGGAGTTCAACTTTTATTTACCAAGTTGCAGGTTTGAATACCGCCCGACATACTTTTCGGTTTTAGCAACACTCACATTTAAAATATAGCTCTGGAAGCTAAGCACACAAATCTCTACCTTGTTATGAGGTAGTAGTAATGGTAGTGCTATACCCTAATTTCCTGTAAATGAATACTTTATTGATTTAAGTGGGTCAAGGACTTAGTGGTTAAAACACTTGACTTTCAACTAGCAGATTGTAGGTTTAAACATGGGCTCTCCCCGCTCCACCTGCTTTGATTTTAGTACCTAATTAGTACAACTAGACCTCATGCAAATGACATGCTTCAAAACAATATATATATATATATATATATATATATATATATATTCTTGTATTTGGTAAAAAATTATACTTCGTTGTTAGTGTTTTCATGTATGAGGCCACTGTGTAGAGTAATCAGTGACAAACTTAGTCGTATTGTGTGTAATTATGTATCAGGTTATTGACAATATTTAAATGGAACAATACTTGCCGTTTTACTTTCGGATATTTTATGGTGTTACCTTTATACTCCTAATTTTTATCTTACGAAACAGTAAATGATATCCATTTGTATTGTTTGTTCGGATCTTCCCATCGATCAATTTCAGTCCTAAACGTCAATCGGAAGATTCAAACGAACAGTACAAATGAATTAAATTTCACCTCATTGCACAAACCAGTGGTTACCTAGAATCAGTAGCTAAGTGGATAACACGATGGCGTTTGAAGCAAGTGATACTGGGTTGGAGTCCTGAAGTGAGCATCAAATCTCCGATCCAGGTACATTGAGCTGACAAGTCCTGAATCCTACTGCTAGCTACCATCCATTTCTACTTGCAGTGAATGATATCATTTTTATCTTGAGGTTATTGTAGCTCAGCTTGAAAGTATTACTAAAATAGGTTTGCCGATGTAATATTACTTGCTTATGGGTAATAGATGAGTACATGAACATTAGTTTTTCAGTTTAAACCTGCTAGTTATTTATAAGACTGCGAATTAGTTGCTCGATTATGAATTCTGTAATCCGTTCATTTATTAAAGATTAAGAATTCAATTGATGTAACACTGATCTTCAACACAGTTTGTATGTATGCATATATTTGTGTTGATATCACTAAGTCATAGTTGTACAGTACTCAGAAAGAAAAGCAAACTACTATGAACGGATTAAACTGTGTTTGTTATTTATAGCCTGAGGTAAAAACGAATTTTTCTTCATATTGAAATTCATTTTTCTCAGTGTCCTTTCACTCATTTATGATGTCTTATGTACAATAGATCTGGGTTATGAATTACATTAGTTTGTGTTCATCTGAAGAATGATGTTTCATCAGTCACTGGAAATCAGTGCAACAGATTACTATCGTTCTATGGGAATTTCCTATTTTAACTTTTCACTGAAAATATTACTGAATTTGTTGTAAGGTATGCTGAGTATTGTATTCAGTTGTTCATTTTCACCATTGAAGAAAAAAACATTCAAGTCTGTTAGTCATTCTGTTATAATCAACGTAGGGCTTGGTATAAATGTGCATTGGTTCTTGTTGTTCTATTATAGAAAGGTAGGATGAGATAAAATTAACAAGATGAATAGCAAAGGAATGTAGTAGCAGTTATAATTTGAAAGACTAAACATTGAAAGTATGATACAAAATGATGGGATCTAAAAGTATGCGTGAAGGAATACTTCAACTCAAGACCTAGAGAAAATGATGAAGAGCCAGTGCATTTGCACCATCGTGGTCGATTCTAAGCCACATCACTTATTATCTTCAACTTCTGGCCACAATAACCGTACAGACCCTAACCAAGTAGTCTGTACCTACCAGCTTGGGTATGATCAGCAATTAAAAATTTCATGGACCAGTGCCGTATCTCCGTTTATTCTCTTTCTTCCAACCTATTCCTACATCGGATGACATCGCACCTTGAAGTAGGTAGTGATCGAAAATGTTTGGTAAATGTCTTAAATCATTTCAGTTGATAAAGATTCCAACCTCAACCGATTTGGTATTTTTTCCTGGTATCCTATTCCAGTAAGGATTCAAATAATGGAAGATAAATCTATTGCTGGTTGGTACAACTGGATATTATATATTGATTTTTGTCAGTGTGTAACATATATAAGCCTTGTCCATTTGAAACATTAAGTTGGTTTATTATATTTCTATTACTAATAACTTAAAGCGTAACAACAAAGTGTGTCCATGATAATAGTAAGAAAAATTTCCCACTTTGTATACTCTTTTCTGTTCCTGTCTTAGGAATGTGATTTCTTGTATCCCATGTCAATTCCATCAAAATCTATTTCACTACCTTCCGGAAGTATTTCATTTTGTGTCGCATGTGCTGGTTCCTTAGATTTAATTCGTATTCTTTTACATTTTCATGAAGTATTACATTCATCATCAGTGTCTCATGAAAGTTCCAATTCAACAACCACATCATCATCATCATCATCATCAACAACAACAACAACAACAAACTCCCATGTAAATTCAGAAAAACAAAATTCTAACCATTCAATCAAAAACATTTTAAGCGCTACCGTTAAATTTGGTAATGCAGATAGACTAAAAACTGTTATAAATGAATTTTATGGATTAATTATTCATGGATGCCTTGTCTCTGCAAATAATTCTATAGATACAATAAATAATTTGGCATTATCTGGATCGGAACAATCCGTGCTACAACAACAACACCAACGTAGTTCTCGAAATTACCATCCAGGTTAGCATATATGTTTGCAAAAGTGTTTTATGAATGATGTTGACTAGTTTCCGTTTCTCTTTGATTAATCGTTAGACGACTAATCATCATTTTATCTATTACTGTTGGGAAATGAATTGTTTTGTGAAAATTATACGAGAACCAGTCAAGAGGAGTTTAATGAATGATCAATTTGAATTTTTAAACCGCGCCTATGACACTCATATCCTGATTGGCTGGGTTCTAAAAACATAGCAAAGCACTTATAGATATCTGGGTATTTTTCTCTGTGGTATTGTTTGTTGGAAGGATTAGCAAATCTTTGACTTTCGTTTATCTTGTTAGCAGCCTAGATGTTGAGTCAACTCGTGAATTGTAGTCAGATCTGGTTTGTAACAATCAAGCAGCACTGGTGATTTTTACTTGTAAATCTTTAGTGGCCCGTGGATCTGACTCCCATTTAGATCGTACGAATGTTTGTTATCGCCTATTCTCGTATATAATCGTCGACTTAAATCGCGTTAGTCAATAACGGAATTAAATAAGTCAAATAACGAGAATGGGATTTCGAATACATATATTTTGTATATGAGGTGAATGGAATAGCAGGAAGAGAAGCGATGCAGAGTGGAGATGGTTGGTAAGCCAACTCATTTTTAGTCAGGCGTTAATTAATATTTATAGGCAGACAAAAATAAGCTACAGACATGTGATGAGACATGGGATAAGAAGTGTACACACATATACGCTCATATAAAAACAATGAAGACTGGTAAGCGAATAACTAACACGGTCAACATATGACTCAAGTAGAATGAATAGATTGGCCTGTCCGAAAGCCAGAATAAGATATATGGGCCTAAAACAATAAGTGACACTACAAATCCTTATGTAATTCTGGCGCTAAATAAATTTACGAACAGACTGTAGGAGATGTTTGTAGATTACTTTTACGAAAAATAATCATTTTATAATGTAGTTTACTCATCTTTAAGTATCTAAAATAATAATTTTTTAACAATTGTAGACCTCACTTCACAATAAGACTCAATGCATAATTTTGATAAATAGTTTTTACAATTTACTGGATGGATTCATCATAATTAGTTTAATGTATAGATTGTATTTGTCAAAGATTGGTCTCATTTCAGGTAACATTGAAAATCAGGCTACCACTGAATAGATGGGGTGCAGTAATGTCTGAAGCCAAAACAACTTTATTCATTAACAATGGAGGATTGTAGCAATTCACTACAGAGATTGACCAAATTTGAAACTGTCCCGTTAATTGTAGATGCAGTGGTTCTAATGGTTAGACGTTCACCATAAAAACTGAATATCTTGGATTCAATTCTTGGTGAGGTTGTGAATGTTTACTTTTAAAAAGTCTCAAACTAGAACAAATCATCTATTCAATGCTTCCTAGTCTTCTATAGTACTTTAACTAAGATCAATGTTTTTAATTTGATAATTAGTTTGTATATTTTCCAATATTAAATTTCATTATTAATATTGTATGTAAAGTTTTTATTTATTTATTTATTTATTTACAGATACATTATCTAATCGTTCTGGGATCAGTTTGTCTAGTTTATACATTATAGGTGAAATGTTAGCAACAATAGATGAAATTTCACTTTTAATGTCTACTGTTGGACTTAAATTTCCTTTAGATAATAAACGTATACTTTCTAATTATTCATTTATTGGATTACAATTATTAGATTATTTAATAATTGGGTTTGCTCAAATTACACATCAAATTTGTGGAAAATTTAATTTACAAATTTTAGAACAAATAATTAATTGTTTTAATACAGTTAATAATGTAGAAAATATGAAAAATAATGAACAAGTGAATGAAGATACATTAACTACAACAAAAAAGACAACTACTACCATCACCACCAGTGTTACTAATACATCTACTGATTCACAGTCTACTACTAGATTTCGATCTTCTAGATGGGATAAACCAAAAGATAATTTATCCACTACTAAAAAACATAATAATAGTAATAAACGATATCATTCTGACAGTCATGAATGTGTGTCGTTTCTAGATAAACAACTGTGGATTTTAGACTTGGAAACGAATTCTTCAGTAAGTCTGTTTATATACATGTTATATTTATAATAGATAATTCGATTTATATGATAACTCATTTATATACTGAATACAAGTTTATATAATTGGCTTAATGACATAATTTTTCTTCGTGTGTGATGTAATTAATGTTATTATTGTCTAGCTATGGATTGAATGTTTAATTTTTGACGTAGGCTTTGGACTTCCGTTGTTTTAGCTAGAAAGCTACAGTTTTATAAAGAAATTTGACTCTTGTATTCCAGTTCTCAGTGAATGCAGCAATTAATATTGTCACTCATGAAATACTTATATTTATTTTTCATACAAGCTAGTTACCAAAACACTTGTCATAGTACTGCGTAAAACAAGTAAAACTCAATCGTTCATAATTCATCTCATTCTATAACGTAAATTGGTGCAATTAGTACATGAGAAAGGAAATTTACAAGTTATATAATGAACTGATCTTAGTTAGATAACCAGCACGAATATGGAAGCACTGGACAGTCGTTTCGTTTTTGTATGAAATTTCTAAACAGTATGAGTCTACTGGGGATCAGACCCGAGATTTTCAAATCTTGCGGTGTGTGCTTAATCCACAGTCTATCAAGTTAGTATCCAATGTTCCACGTATTTAACTTTAATCACTATCGTGGTAGAAGTGTCTAACGTTTCTCTGACTGAAATCAGTCCGTGAAGTAAACTATCAAATTCAACAATCTCCATAATCTCCCTACACTAATGGGGAATTTAGTCAATGAGAAAAAATGGAGAATAAAGCGCATACTAAATAGTAATGAAAAGTAGAATAAGAAGAATAACTCCAGAAACCAATCATACTTATCAAAAGAGTACAATTTCCGTTGATTATCACAGGATTCATCAAAGTCAAACTGAGTCAGAGTTGTGGGTATTTAGAGGTAAGATTAGAATAATTAATGGTATTTGATATATTGTATCGAAAAGATATAGTCGAATCTGTCCGAGACTCACTTTAGCGGCTACAAGTTCGCCGGCACTTAAAGACATGACGATCGTGAACCTATATGAAAGGTAGTCCTTTGTAATTATAAGTAATAAGTAAAGCCATGAATAATGTATACAGTAACTATTATTTAAAACAAACATCATAAAAATCCAGTTAAGTGCTCTAGTGATTATCAACCCATAAAATATAAACAAACAAATTTCTTATCTCTAATAGTCTTTTTGGTAAAAGTACACTACGGAGACTACCTTGAACAACCCATCAATCTATTAGAAGACAGAGTTTAGTTCTGAAACAATTATAAGTAAAAAGTAATAACATTACGGTCTATAAGACGTTTTAAAAGGATTAGTGGACGTATCAGAGAAGACCGAAATATTCCTCGTCAAAGCCCCTAGACACCCAGAAACGTCATGAAATTTTATATCCAGTCAGCGTTGAATAGAGTCTTTGCAGAAACATTCAGAAAATGCAGAATCACGTCCCACGGTTTTGTTTGGAAATTTACCTACGCTGCTGCCATATTTAATGTGGTTCCAGAAGTCCTAGGTCTCATATGACTGTACATACCCTCATTTTTCTGTACACAGACTAACCTTGAATTAAAGTTTTATTTGCAATTCTTACCCTCTCTCTAATGTTTCAGTTAACATGGAGAATTAGTTGGAGTTATCAAAACCAGCCAAGAAGACAGTTTAGATGTATTGGTGTCAAGATTTATCTGAACCCAGACATATGGGATTATAGATAATCACAAACGAAAAATGTTAAATTTGGGAGTTGGTTAGTTTGCGAATACTTTTTAGCTGCCCAAACCAATGTTGACTATGTTCTAGAACTCATCGATTACTAGGGTCATTAATTAATTAGCATTCTGGATGCAGTCTGCACAAAGAGCCGATGGTTTTGGTATAGTGTCTTACATAACACGTCACATTAGTCGGGTGTGGTTGCACATTTGATCGTCTTAATAATTAAATATCGACAATTATTATCTACCTGTTCATAAGGTACAAGCTATCCGATCGTGTTTTGACTTCACGCGAGGGTCCAGGAAGCGCTGTCTAGTATCTTGTCGGTTTGGCGATATAGTGTAGTTTTACTGTCTTAACTTTTTCTAAAAGATACACCAATTTTTGTAATTACATTTATATTTATAGATCTGTGGGAAATCGTTATGTGATCACCTGAATTATTTCTTAAATTGGGGTTTAACTGCTCGACCTGAAAGAATAGATTGGCTTATATTACGTGGTGAAATAGAATTTTTCGTGAAAAATTACCGTCAAGCTTTGTCAACATATCTCGAATTTGGTAGCGTTGTCACGGACGCATTCTCAAAGAATGTTTTATCAGTCTTTTTTACAAAAGAGGTATTACGGTTTTATTATTGTGACGGTTCATATATATATATATATATATATATATATATATATATATATATACGGTCGTATTATAACTTGTGCCCTATTAATGTATAACTTCCATTACTTCATTGTCTGAAAACAGTTATATTGTATCTGGGTTTTTTTAATAGTAGCTGGTGTAATTACGCTAAAAATTTGTATAACAGTTTTGACTGAGCGCCCGCAGTATATACATATTTTAGTTCTGTGCTTCTTTTTGAGTGAAATTTTCACCAGAAGGTTACTACTAATTAGTTGTTTAAATGGATTTAATAGATTCTCCTCATCCACCCTTCCCACAAATCATTACCTTTCTATTTAGATTTTGTTGGGTAAGTGTTCTTTATTATATATGGATTTTGTTAATTTACTGCTTTTGTGTATGATAACCTATAATCAGTTGTATGTGGAAATGGATAGACTTTGTCGTTTTTATGATGTCTTTGTTTGAATGATAATCTTTTCTACATATTCATTTACATAGTATCAGTGTGTAAAGTCTAAGTTGTAAGTCATTGTCCTTTTATTATTAAGAATACTTAATTCAAATACTCTCATCTGATGCATACATCTACACATTACTATGTATTATCGTGGACTTTAAATCTATACATTTCATCTGTTCAGTTTTACAAACTTCGTAGATCTGTACAATATTTCTCATCTATAATAGACTTAATTTGTTTCAGCTCATTAGCTTTGTTGATTGTTTTTTGCGAATCTGTCATCATTTTTCTACTATAACAACAGCTACTAGTGTTGAATTTATATATATTAGTTCATTTAGTCTTCGGATTGATGTTTAGGGCTGCAACTGATACGTGAACCCTGTACGGATAGCCTCGTGATTGCCGTTAAGTCACACGCATTTTGAGCTTAGAAATGGATGGTGGCTAGCAGTTGGAGCTGATGAATCGCAGTCCTAAACGTCATTTGGACGATTCAAACAGCCAGTATATATATGAATTAAAATTCTCATCTTACAAACCAGCGGTTATCTGAACTCAACAGCTAAGTGGATAACGCGATGTCGCTTAAAGCGAAGGGTAGTAGGTCTGAGTATCGTAGTGAACATCCAGGTACATCGAGCTGAAAAGTCCTAAACAGAACAAAATGCACATTCTAGATCCTACTGTCATGTACTATTTATCTTTACCTAAAATACTATTGTCCAAATTTAATGATGGGATGATATTGTTCCTTTTAAGTTGGATGGCTTAATTGTGAAATCTCAGTTGCTATTCTAGGCTAATTTGCTATAGATGTAAGCTGGCAAATGATATCACTAACTTCTGAAAATGGACTAATTTATCACTAACTTTTATCCAAAGTAAGATTCTGCTTTCAATCATAAAAATTGAAATTTCGTAATTAAACCATCCAACTCAGAGGACACAACACTACTAAAAATACAAAACTTATGCATAATTCTTCATCATTCCGATGTCATTTAAGAATATAATTTTATTTTTATGTTTTTGTTTCATGTTATTAAGTTGGTGTTTCGTATGATGTGTTGTCTTCAATATCTCGGATTATTTTATGAAAGTGTTGTTCTTTCACAATTCGGACCATCCTCTGATGAATCTCTTGTGGATAATGTCATTCAAATTATTAATAGTCTAGGTGAAAATTCTAATGGTTGGCCAATAACTCAAATAGATACTTTTAGTACTGCAGTAATAAACCAACAACCATGTTCTTTTGATAACAGTACTTCTGCGGATTGTTTACATGGATCTTGTGGAGGTTCACTTCTTCATACTACATTAGATTGTCCCGATAGTTTAATTCCTTATTTATGGAATATTCGTTTACTATCAGCACTCGAACGTTCTGCTTCAAATCGTGGTGCCCTTTTACAGTCTACCAAGTTTAAAGGTAATAATTGTTCTGTTGCTTTAATATATGACAGATTTTTGTCGAGTTGAATATTAAGAAACTGTATATGTAGAGAGTAGCATTGATTGATAAATTATATGGAGGTATAAATGTTGAAAGAGGTTACGTAACAATCTAACAGCTAATTAGATGTTTTTAAGATGAAAACATTTTATACAAGTGAGATAATTGTTCCTTTAATGATTATGAAGAACAGATTAAATAAATTTTTTAGTAATGGTTAATTCACTTCTGAAGAAAAAAATACAACAATAAAGACAGTAGGTTATTGAGTATGGAAGCTAGGAGCGGTGTTTAAACCACTGTAAAGTGGAAGATTGGAAAGGTTTCGGTACACAGATTAAACTAGAATAGGTGTATTACCAAGGCCTCTGTTGTAAGTAAGTTCCTAATTTTTAATCCCTTCAAACCCCTTCTTTTGAATTTATGAGTGATTTTAAAGAAGAATTCTGGCAGGGAAATTTCGCTAGTCCTTACGAAATGCTAAACTATTAACTGTCTCTGTTGATCTTTTTTCATAATTAAGGAGATCAATTTCCAGAGTGCTCGCTTTGTACTGCTAATACAGCTTACCACACAAAACCAGTTAAACTTAAAAATGCAGATTTATGTGGATAAAGAGAAAGCTTACCTTCATATATCCACAAAATATAGGGAGAGTTGAGAAACTGGGCGAAATAAAATGTCTTCTTTTGGTTTTAACATTGAAAGAAAGTTTAAAGTCATTTTATAAATAATTCATTTTAATAATAAGTTTAGTGACACGTAGTTGAAAAACGATTTTATAACTATTTGGATCGCTTACGAACTACTTCCAAAATACCTCTCAACATCGGCAAGTAGGTTACGTGTAAGGTACGATAAGATATTGAACTGAAAAAGAAGTCATCCTAGAGGTGTGTGTAAAATTCTCAACTCAACATAGATGCATGAACATGAGTACATACCAAAAGAGACCTTTTTGAAGTAGAAAGCGACCATGGCTTCCTAATGTAGATCGTCTTGTTCGGTAATTTCTCATGATAAATGATGTACTGACGAATATTCCATGCTGCCATGCATTATCAAGATCTATACAAAGTTGCAAAATTGTGTACATCTTTTGATAGATGGCATACTATCAACAGTGATTGTCAATATGTTGTGGCGGATAACGTTTCATATGTACCTTACTAAAATCACATGTTGGTACATTTTCTACGTGCTGTTATTATAAAAATAAGGATTAGTCTATTCTTTTCTTGGTTAAGCATACGTCGTTCCTAGCATTTACATCAGTTTCACTCTTCTCTTTACAGCTCGAATCAATAATCCTGAACTCAATGCTAACAATCCAGATGAAATATTATTGGAAAATAGATGTGCTTTAAATCTTGAATATCTTCGTTATTTGTCCAACGTTTATTTGATTTAATCATACCACTTATGTCTGCGAATAACAGTTGTCAATACTTTTGTACAATTCTTTATATTTTGATACTGTAATACAGTTCTATAAATATGTCGACCACATTAGTAATCTGAATAGTACAGGCGATATATCACCTTCTTGTATCTGCGTGGGATTATCGATAACTATACTTATTGATGATTTCTTAGTAATAGACATGAACCAAATTTTGCGTTGGAGAATTCATCGAAACCCCACAGCTATTATTTTACCCTTAGTCTATCGAACATTAAAGGAGGAATTTTTTATGAGTATTGTTACATTCGAATTCCCTATGATCCCGGAATTTTCTGCATAACTTCTAGGCTTATCTGTCGCTTACTAACAGAACACCAGTAAATCAAAAGATAACAAATTTGCTTAAAAAGACGATATTATGTGGGTTTGAATATACGTATGAAAATCACCCGAATGTCTGAATAGTTACTCAGCGAGATTCCTTCAGTTCGGTGTGTGCTTAATGAATTTGGTGCAATCAGGCGATCGAAAAAGGCAGAAGTCTGCTATCGGGCAGAAAACCCCAAGTTGTCAGTAAGGTAAAATATAAGACGAGCTAATTGTCAAAGAGAAGTGTGTAGAATTATGGTCTTGTTTAGTATTATTTCATTTATTCTTGTCACTATGATGGTAGACAGTGTCATATACCGTTGGGATCTGTTTGTGGACTAATACTACACATATCTTTTTATTGTATAATTGTTAAGTAACTAACCTATATATATATATATATATATATATATATATATTCCTCTTGTAATAGGCTTTATTTTGACCTACAGAATATTATTATACGATTTACCATTCTTAAGTTATGCCCAGTCTATCAATTGCAGTCTCCCACATTCATAGCCACTTTTGGCTAAATCTTGTACAAATGTTATTTTCTACTTTATGGTGTGATGTGGTCTGTTTGGTTTTTATATAAACCCAGTACGTTTGAAATATATGATTCATAATGCGGAGGCTGAGATTTGTGTTCCGGACTCAACAGGCAGGAAGAAGGACCGATAAGGACTCTAGACGGCTCGTACGGCTTTGTGTCATTGGTCCCGTTGATAAGTCACTGTCCTCGAATTGGCGGTATCATAACGTTGTATATTAATAAGGCACAAGGCCTCAGGTTATAACAAACTTAATCCTAAAAGTAGATTTGTCATAATGTGACCACTTAATCTTTAAGGTCTTGCTTGGAAGTCACATCACAGTCTACTCTGCCTGGTTCTATTACGATAATCATCAATATAATCTCTAGGATTTCTGAACAGTACATTTGGTCTGGGGAGAGAGTAATATGTTTTGTAGAAAAGCGAGAGGTTACACATAGTGACCACGATTTCATGGCCCTTCTATTCTATAACGGTTAGTATTTTTCGCGTTCACCAGTTTTGAGTGTCTCAGCAGTTATATGTTGAGCTTCAAAGATAGTGTGGCAAGGAGCGAATATCACTACGTGTGGTCCACCAAAACAGAAGTTCATAGTATCATAATAGCTTACACAGATGAACGGTCGAAATTTCCAACAGCTGCACATGCTTCTAACTATCAAGAAGCACTGTTTCTATTCTCTATGGATGACCAGATTAATGAAACAAGGGACGACAGTCCATTATGTTGACCATCAAAGTCCAGTGCTTTGGTAAAAGAAAATCGAGACAATCAGTGAGGAATTATGTAGTATCAACAAAAGAAAAAATGATGATACATCCAAATGTGATTATCTCAGGCGAGCCGGAAGATATAGTGAAGTCGTCGAAGGGCCAAATTTGCACTCATGGAGAGACGAATTGCTGTCGTGTTGAGTGATAGGATTTTTACGCCTACGAGAAATGTATCACGGTACAGGTAACTCGTTATCATAAGGACGCTTATGTCCTACAACCGACCAATACGTTTAGACGAGCTCAAGCAACCAATAAGCAGCAAGGACTCTGAGTTATACACAGCTAGTTTTTTCTAGATCCAGAACATATGAAAAGCTTTGATAAGCATTAGTTGGCATAAATGATGTCAGCGCAGAGGATATATGTTGAAATTTAACCCCATAAAATACGTTAATGAGGGAGCAGTATATTATGTTGTGATATTCTTATATTTAGTAGTTGGCTAGCAAGTAAACGAGAGACTCTTTAATACATGCAGATAATTAAGGTCAGCATAAAAATCCTGCTTCAAACCGTATCTTTCCGAAGTTGCTCATATCTTTGCCAATCCTGTTTTGAAAGTCTCTGAAAAAGCCTTAATAAAAACCATCCAAGCTGTTTTGAATATTATGGATGGGAGGTGTCGTTATCATAAATGTCTAGTAGGAGCATCCAGAAAACAGCAGATCACAGTGGTCTGGACAACGGATTCACAACAATACTGAGACAAGTTAATGTGAAATTGCTGCGTCAACAACGGGTGGGTTGACTCCGCTTACGGGTACTCTCGGATATAACCATAACGCTCGACTGAGTGCTTTCACATAGTGATGTCCGTGAAAACTAACTAGGTCTGGATTGATATTGTGTGACTAAGTGCTAAAACGGCCAAAAATTTCACGGTTAATGAAGGCTGCTTGAATGAGCTTCTTTTTTATATTTATGCGTCATGAATCAAGCGCTTAATCTTGAATAAAATCAAGAATATAGAAACGGGAGTTAAAAATTGGCCGATTGAGAGATAAATCTAAAATGTCGGGCTTCCAGTTGCAAGTAATCGTCATGATTAATAGTCAGAAGTCTTGAGTCAGTTTATGATCAGCAAGTAGAGTGGAAGTTATGCCTCCCACTATTCCAAGAAAATATTCGACAGATAGATATATCGACTGAAAGAGCTGCAGAGAGATTGCAAAATGTCCAATGGCTTCGTAAATTATGCTAGCTGGCGATTTACTTTTTGTTGTACAGAAGTGTCAATACTTCATGTCACCTCTCATAACAACCAGTGCAGCCTCATAGTCAAGACACGCAAAAAGAGTTGCGAAACCAACAAATCTTCTCAGTCATCTTTCAATGCATCTATTGCTTCTGGTGTCACATGTTTTACTTTAGCTCAATTTTTAAGCAGACCTGTTAATGGTCGTAACGGTTGTGGGTGATTGAAATAAAATCACCGTATAAATTCATCAGCTTAATCAGCCCCCTAATCTTTATAAGTGAATATGATATAGGATAGTCTTGTTTCTTATAGATTGATAATAGGATTAGTGTGACATTAAAAAAGATTTCTGGCATTACCTTGGAATCTGGAGATTCCTCACCGTACTAACACTTCACGGCATGTAATAACACTGGTGATGGCATACTGAAACTCGGCACCATCATAACGTCGACGGTAATAGACTCCCTCAGCAGGTTTGGGTCTCCCAGCACATGGTCCCCAAATGCAACAGTCGTTCCCAAAAACTCTGTGAGTGATTGGACCCCCGCTAACAAAGTTAAAAAGGGCCAAGCGTCACCGTCTAAGAAGTCAAACGTCTTAAGAATGTCCGTCCGACCATCAAAGAGTTCAGAAATCGGAAACGCGCATCGACCTCCAAACAACAAGGTCTCGAACCTGAACGCACCGGAAAACCTAGGAAAAAATAACGGTTCGTGACGATTCTCTTATGATCATGAACCTCAAAGATAGCCCTGATCTTCCCTTCAGTTTGCAGGACAAAAATGACAGGATGCTCTGGTGAGAGTTAAACAAGAAGCTTGAACTACCCAGAATAAAGCCTTTGATGGTCATACGGCTCACTCGGGGAAGGGACTCTAGGCTACTTCGTATAACACTCACTAATGCTTCCGACGTAGAGGATATCCTACTAGCTAGTAACCTACTGAAATCTGACGGCAACGTTAGAATACTGCCTGACATACCGTATTCTGAGCGCAATCTCATCCGGAAAATCCCTAAGGAATCTCGCGAGTTTTTCCGCGGGAGAAATATCATTGTGCAAAGTGTATCGGCAAACAGACCCTGGTCACACAAACTGTGACACTAGGGAACTGAAATTCATCAAGTAATTTTTGAAGCCTTGAAACATACTGACTCAACAAGCGATGAAACTTGTCAAGAAGGACGGGGATTCTAGATCGCGGCTGATGAAAATAATTTTCCAGTCCTCCCATATGGCGGCTGCAACTCTGGAAGCATTTTATGCCAACAGGCTTCGGTTGACAACTGGAATCCATATGCATCCGGATAGGCCACACGGCATCAGGATCAAGCACATAGGCAAGTTGGAGCTGGCCATCCAACTTGTGGACTGTCTTGATCATAAAGAACGTGTAAAGGACAGGGACTTTCAACTCTGAAGACCTTGTATAGGTAGGCTACCTGTTCATTCACATAAGGCTCATACGGACAAACAGGAAGGAGAAGCTCACGCGTTTCGAATTGGAAGCATAAACTGCTTATACATGGACGCCGCGAGTTAACCAAATAAAATGGATGAGCTACGTGGCCTTAGCAATGCTAATAATGCTCATCTGACAGGAATATCTGAAACTTGGATATCTCAAATTGCGGACTAGGAGCTAGCAATACCTGGGATTTCTTTGTTTCGCAATGACAAAAACACAGGAATTGGGGGTGGAGTAGCCTTATACTTACGATCCTGCCTGGAGGCCCATCAAGTGCACAGCCATCCCTATGGTGCTCAGTAAGATTGTCTACCACCTCAACGTGTCTAGTTGGGGTCATTTGCAAAACACCCAATGCTGACATCTAGTACGACAATCGTATGCTGGAAGGATTATCCCGCTCTACTCGTCTTGGATTCATTCATATCCTGATTCTAGGGGACTTCAGTCTTCTTAAAGTCATTTATATATATATATATATATATATATATATATATATAGTGGGTGTGAAAACTCCATTGAAGCTTGGTTCTTCAGCCTCATTGAGAATCTGGGATTATTCGAAAGTGTGAAGTCGGCAACTCGTTGGAGAAACAGTTAAACGCCGTCGCGCTTAGACTGGGTGTTTACAAGCGAAGAATTTCACACTCACAACCTCTCGATCCTGGGGAGAAGCGATCACGCCGTCATGGACTTCAATTTTTTCAGCAAAAGTGAGCTAAGACATCCCGCCGGCTACAGGCTCTGGAAGTTCAAATAGTTGTATGTGTCAGCTATACAGGACAATGAACAGTTGGTGAACTGCGAAGTTTACCATCAACTTGATGTGGATGCTCATTGGGATTTCCTACTTCCCAAGATTGATGAAAGTTTTATCTGCAACTCCATAGGGCTTTCCGAAATGAACCCGAGCGCCGACTTGGTGTACTGGAAACTGCAGCACCTAAAAAAGACACTTCTCCTGGTTAGGATATAATTCATTCTGCTATACTGAGGGAAGCAACTTCAATCCTGGCAACACCGCTTAGTGTGATGTTCTCACACTCGCTTAGCCGAAGCAAGCTACCGGAAATTTGGAAGCAGGCTCACATAACACCAATTTTCAAACGAGGTCGACGCAGCGGACCTTCAAGCTACCGACTGGTGGCTCTTCTCTCTATACCTTCAAAATTATGAAGTCCCTGATATGCGACGGTATACACGACTATTTATTATCCGAAAACTTCTTTTTACCCTAACAGTATGGTTTCAGGAAGGGTTATTATTGTATAACAAACCTGCTGACTGCGGTGGACAGATAGACAACCATCACTGATCACAAGGAAAGGTTGGCGTCAATTGCCTTGACTGCTCAAAAGCGTTTGATGGGGTCAGCCATATATGTCTAATCAATGAGCTCAAAAGATTAGGTACCAAATCACCTCTTATTGACTGGCTCACTTCATATCCAAAAATTCGACATTTTAAGGTCAAGGTTAACTTCACATGCTCTTTCGGGCTATGGGATGTCCTACTGGGGTCCCCCAGGGTTCAGTACTGGGACCTCTTCTTTTCTTGATTTATATATACGATCTTCCACAACAGATATGGTCTGACTTATTACTTTTATGCTGATGCCGTGCAACTTTGGAGGGAGAGATACGCAACCGAAAGGATATACTGGCACTTCAGGAGGATCTGACTTGACTTCAAAGTTAGGCAGATGACAACGGACTAACCCTTAAAACTTCAAAGTGTAAAGTAGTCCGTCTGAGACATGTTGCGGACTACAGTTACGACTTGAGAAACTTCTCTGTAGAAGCATCCTAAGCTGAAAATGTTTTAGGAGTACTGGTACCCTACGATTTGAAGTCTTATGCTAACTGTGACAAAAATGCCTTACGAGCAAACCGTACACTGGTAACATTGAAGCGCGTTTTTGGCCAGTTTGACGGAAGAACTTTCCACATAATCTTCAGCAGTATCATTCGCCCTTATTTAGAATACAGAAATATAGTATTTCCTCCATCACCCCAAAAGGATAAAGACACTCTAGAGCGTTTCCAACGGCGAGCCACAAAATTGGTATGGGTGCTCGAATTCAAGCCTTATGAAGAGCGCCTTCAATCACTAAACTTTTACTCGTTAGAGTATAGGCGTCTTAGAGGTGACCCTCTACTGGCTTATAGTATCCTTAAGACTCCTGGACATCCCCTTAAACACCTACTTAAGTTTAGCTTCAACACATACCTAAGGGGTAACGCCCAGAAACTAGAGACACAACACAGCAGAACGTACTGTAGATACAATTTCTACACATTAAGGGTTGTCAAATGCTGAAATTCGCTGGCGAGTGAGGTAGTCCAACGTTTTGCTAGGAGTCCTTTAAAACGACCTATTCTTAAGAACTAAGAATAATATCTTACTATGATTTACCAATTTGTTTTTCCTCCATTATCACTAATATACCTAGGTTCCTGACTCCAGGTATTGGTTACCCACTGCTACTAGGCACGGAAGCCCGTTAAGCGAAAGCTTCTTCAGCCTTCAGTCTTCAGTAATAAGGATAGAAGGTTGATGAAATTGTATTAATCCTGACACATTGCTTTCCAAAGAAGGTTCAGCTTCTCCTTGAAAGTATTCACTAATGGGGCTGATACCACTTGTTCGGGTAAGGCGTTCCAATGATTGGCTACTCAATGAGAAAAACGGGACCCCACTTTAAGTTTATTAGATCATGGTTTATGAACCTTCTTGCTATGACCTCGGAGATTATTAGTGCTGGAGGGAGAAAAATGATAAGACATACTAACACCCAAATTATAATTAAAGATACGAAATGCCACTATAAGGTCACCTAGTGTCCTACGATACGACAAGTGGAAAAAATTTGGGCGCTTTAAACGCTCATCGTAAGGGAGTCTAGAAAGACGCTTCACTAGTTTCGTTCCCACCCACTGGACACGCTCAAGGGAGTTAGTATCCTTTACCAGACACGGGCTGGCTGCTTGGATACAGTACTCTAAATGTGGTCTAACATATATGGGATATAAAATTCGAAACGTTTCCTCGTCAAAAGATTTGAACGCTCGGCGAAGTGACCATAACGCACGAAAACCTTTGACAGCGGCTGCTTTGCAATGCGCAGTCGTTTTTAAATCATGACTTATTACTACTCCTAAGTCTTTATGCTGTTGAACGCACGGAAGAGGTTTACCCTCAATAGTATAAGGGTAACTATTACCGTGACCGATGTGCATTAGCACACTCTTCCTAGCATTGATTTCTAAGCCCCACTCTCTAACCCATCTAACTAAATCGTCTAAGTCAGCTTGAAGATCCAGATGATCAGTCGCTGTTTTTATTGTTCTCCAGATTTTTACATCATCCGCAAACAATAATGTCGACGACCTAAGTAACAGCGGTAACTCATTAACCCAGACGAGGAAGAGCAGAGGACCTAAGATGGTGGCTAGGAGTACACCACTTTTGACCGGCTTCCAATCAGATAGCGTTCCGTTAACCCTTACTCTCTGTCTGCGGTCACATAAGAAGTTACCTATCCACTCATGTACAGTACCTACTATTCCGAAGCTCGTGAGATTCTGCATAACACCTATGTGTGAAATCTTATCGAATGCTTTTCTAAAGTCTATGAATATCACATCGACAGACAGACCGTTATCTAGGGCTGCTGTCCATTCCTCTCTCGCGATAAGCAAGTTAGTCAAGCATGAACGCTTGCTACGAAATCCGTGTTGCTCAGGAGCTAACAGATTGTGTAAATCCATGTGGCTTAGCAACCTAACCCGAATTATCTTTTCAAGTAACTTAACGACTATGCTAGTTAGACTGACAGTCCATCTACAACAAATTGAACCACTTAAACTCTAACTCAAGGTAGATTATTAAAAGACTGTTTGTTTATTGATAAATAAACAACTTCAGAGATTAAAACGCCGACCGACCTCGTAGACTTTAAAAAACAAATTTTATTTTCGACCAAATTTATTGTGACTAACCTGAAAAGCGCGTTCTATGAAGATGTTGTCACAGCATCAGCTGTTTTTCGTGCATACATTCATCGTTGATGTGTTTTGAGTTGCATGACCTTATATTATATTTGTCCTGAAAATATTTTGCGGAAATAAACAATCTTCAGTGTCAAGAAAAACATGTCCGGTTTCGTGAAAATGTGTGAACTTTGTGGTGGTCAAATTAGTGAACAGTCTGAATTTTCCTTCGAGGACATGATCACTAACTGGTTAGATGAAAATCCTGAATTTGCTTTCAAGTACTTTGTCAAATCAGCATCTTCAAGCATGGTTGAAGCCTGGGCTAATGGACATAATCATAGTGAATCTGATGGCCTGTTTGATAACTCAATAAATGTCTTGGACGAGCATAATGATAAAAATAATGATAAAATTTCTGTGACTACTTCTCTATCACTACCAATACGTAAGATAAGCAGCCAGGATTTGGAATTAACCCATGACAAGCGTATTTTATCTTCTAACGAAGATGGGAAGCCCACATTTATAAACTCTGTGTTCTTTCCTTCCCCTGCCACTGAACACATCGATTTAAATGCTAGTCCTGCTCGTCAAACTGTGCCTTCACCAAGTCGACCAACACATCCAACTGAGAGAGATTTGATAAGTGAACTTGCTTTGGATATTTGTCATGAACTTGACGTGACATCTTTATGCTTTAAAATTGTCCAGAATGTTTGTAGACTAATTAACGCTGATCGTGGATCATTTTTCCTTGTGGAAAAGTCACGTTCAACCGGTGAGGATGTTCTTGTTAGTAAACTTTTTGACATTACATCTGAGTGTATATTGGACGATGTTTTACAACGATGTTCTTCTAATCACATCATTGTTCCTTTTAATGTTGGTGTAACCGGCTACGTCGCACGAACTGGAGATTACGCGAATATTCCGGACGCATATGCTGTAAGCAGTTTTGGTAACAACGTGTTTAGTTATATTTGTAAAGGGTGTCAACCACCTAGTTGGTTGATAAGTTATCTGAAATAAAAACATAATTAATTCCTTCAATAAGTATTTGGACATGAATCACACTTTAATTGCATAGGCTAATTATGTTGCTCAGTTGTATGGTAGGAAATCGATGAATCCGAGCTCGAACCTGGAACCAAGTGGCTTAAAATCAGGCCATTTAACCACTAAGCCACTGCTTCAGACTATCGGTTTGAGTACTAGTTAAGGACCTGTGTTGCCTTTTTATTTAATTGCAAGCATGTTGTCATCCTAAACCGTAGTTTATAATGAATTTATTGCCACTTAGCAAATGACATTGTCCAGTAGTGTCACAAAAAGCCTTTTAACCGCATTATTCATCTTCACTTTCTGATTGATGACAAAATTTAAATTGTAAACAGTGAATGTGATCGTTTCACTCTCTAGATCAAGGAGTTTCGATGTTAGACAATATGGTCCATATAGTTTGAATTTCAAGAATTTCTTTAGGTTTGGGTTAATGATTTAATTATGTTGTTACTGCTATTCGTTTTCATCATCTATGTTTGAAGTAAAATGATAGTTTGACTAAAATCAAAAGCAGCAAATTTCAGGCCAGATATATGTTAGCACTAACTCTATAAAGCTTTCTACCGACATTTTAAAGACCTTAATTATCTTTTGATATTTATAACCCGGTAGAATGATATTCATACGTTGATATCAGCAATTTGAAGCTTAAATTATTTTTTGCGACCCCATAACGAAGTCTAGGACTGTAAACTTAGCTCCGAGCAATACGTTTTCTGTGGGGGTTAATAATAGTATTGAACTACTCTGTTCCTAAGGCACCAATCCTACAACCCTTAGGAGATAGCTCAAGACCATTGACGGTGGCACAAGAGTACGTAATATTTATCTTTCCAAGACCTAATTTTTTAAATATTACTTTGTTTTTCTCATTAAGTCATCTAATTTATTTCACCAAACTCCTCATTTTCGGTTTTCATTATCGATTATATCATTTTTAATTTCTTATCCATCTTTTTAACTCATTCTCTCGTTGAACTAATATGAAATGTGACAACTCGAATCGACCCACGTTTGTTCGAAGTTCTCTGTTATTTATGATTAGTTGAATAATTCTATACTATTTTTGGTCAGTCTGTCAGTTACGTTCAAATTCGCAAAGGTTTACAAGGCAAAATACTAGTTTTGTGACTCTTTGTCGATCACCCACCACCTTCAATATTTGTTTAAGTCAGTAAACATGTTTGTTTGTTGGATGATAGTAACTGAATTTAGAAGATTTTGCCAGTTTTATTGTTAGGGTTTGCATTTTATTTCGATAAAGGTGTTAACTACCAATATTTTTCCAAACATTTTGGCAGGATCCTCGATTTGATGATTCCGTAGATCGTGTAACAGGATATAAAACGCGCTGCCTTTTATGCATGCCTATAAAAAATGTTGACGGAAAAGTGTTAGGTGTTGCACTGGTTATCAATAAGACAGTTCCTTCTGATCAGCATCATGATCAAGGTATTAACTCAGTTCAACCTAGTAGTTGTGAGAGTGAACCAATCAGGAAACATGCGTCATTCACCGAAGAAGATGTAAAAATATTTCAATCATATGTTACTTTCTGTGGTATTGGATTACACAATGCACAAATTTATGAACAGAGTCGTTTAGAAACTTATCGGAACCAAGTAAGTACTATCCGTTCTTCTATAACTTTACTTTGTATAATTCATTCTTAAATTTTGCAAGATTGGTTTTAGTACAAGCTATAATTTGCCAACGATACAACAAAGTTGGGGAACAGTATCCTAAACGTTTTCTTCCCATTGGAAGAAAATTCATGATACATTTCTTTGATAAAAGGCAGAATGTGTAGTGGTAATGGGCAGAAATGTGAGCATCTGCTATTGATAATGGGTTTAGAATGTAGATCATTCAGCTACCCATAATTATCTGGCTTTCAATTGTCGTTTGACCCTTCTCGATTAATGGTAAAACTATTTGCGACAACGTGTTAAATGTAATAAAAAATGGTTTGGTGTATAAGTTGATGTACTTACTTAGTTCTATCCATACTTAAAGAGGTAATTAATCCTTATTTTTTCAATCGATATGGATTTACCAACCATTAAAGTTCTTAACGATTGTGCTTTTTGTTTTTCCTAGTTCAGGGTTCCTCGAAGTTGTGGACTATTGATTTGCTTTAGTATTAATAGTAATTTTATCATTCGGCAGTTTATGAGCCATGACCTGTTTCTAAAATTCTTGTATGCTTGTAAAATACATAGGTTTAATGCAAGATCTTGTCTTTCCAGTTTTTATTAGACTTATTAAATTGTGAAACTATCCCAAATTAATCATTTCTATTAAACATTAGTTAAATCATTTAAATTTTTCTGTTGTGAAACTCTTATTTCAGAGGAGATTTTAAAATTATTGCATCTATCTTCCTATTAATTAAGAAATTAAGTATACGAAGCTGAGAAAACAAAAATAATATGTACTTATTCGTTAGCATCTCGAAATGTAGTTAATGTTCACATTTACATCAACCCAGTTATCTATCATCATATCACTATGGAATTCTATTTGGATAATTCAACTTAATACTCATGGTATTCAGCAGTTCTATTTAATTTCATTGAGATGATATTTTACTATGATCATTTATAAACCAGTGTTTTTAATTGAGAAGTGACATTTATCAAAGGTTATGAAGGCTGGAAAGTATTTCGCTCTAGGCAAAAACTCTTCAGGACTGTTTACTGTCCAGTTATTGCTGTTATTCAACAATAAGTTTCTAGATTTGATGATGACGTATGTTGGCGTACAATTAAACTTAATTTATTTTATATAAAGGATATAATATTTTACATTAGTAAATTTTCTAATTCCATTGAAAAAAGGCATTCGACCAAAGTAATCAAGCGACAACTTACAGGCATAGTGAGAAGAATGAAATAAAATTCTGTACTCATATACGAATCGTTCAACAAATTAAAACTGCCAGGTTCTGTAATATGCGAACTAAATTAGTTACCTAACATCTATAAGTCATATCGTTCAATTGCGAGATAAATAATTCATACCATTTTAATCAATAAAGTGTCACATTAAAACAATTCTCATACGCAACTTTTCATATATCACTATTAGCTTGTTATGCTAAATTTAGTAAGCTGTTCAATTGTTCATTGCTTTTTTTTTGTCTAAAAACGTATTGTCGTTTAACGGAAAATGTTGTCATTTAAAACATATAGTTATTAAGCGTTTCATTGTCAAAATTCGTAATAAGTAATCATAATATATTGTTCTTCTATACATCAAGTTTTAAAAAATCAACTCATAACCACTGAGTTATATTTTCATTATGGGCGAATGTTATCTTACAATAAATTTCTGTATTTGTTTAATGTAATTCCAATTAAATACCTTCATTAAGCATAATGTATACAGATCTATGCTAGTTATTTGTTTCATAAGATCAAAATCAAAACAATGAAGGCTATGTTATGGTCTGTCGACAAAAGAACTGTTTAATTCACGTGATGTTAAAGTCAGTTATGGGGAACTACCTACACTTTAATATTCGACACTTATTATTTCGGTCAGTGTATTGTGTAAATTTAACGAAGTTGTAATTTTCTTGTCTATAAATAACTTGTTTGAAAAAAAGTATACACTTTCTCTCTCTCTCTCTCTCTCTCTCTCTCTCTATATATATATATATATATATATATATATATATATACCCTGATGTTAGTGTTACAAACACTTAGGAAACAATGATTGACTTCATATTATTACGATTTATTAACGAGATTTGTTTAATCACTTGTTCAAATAACTAACTAACTAGTTTTGTTTATATGATTATTGAATTAACAGATTTTTATTGAATGAAATTGTTGCTTTATAGGGAATGTGAATTGTCAGTTAATTTTAACAGCAGTATAACGTATAATAGTTCATATTATTCGACATTTTGACTAATGTTACCACACATTCAACCCTTCATATTATGTAATTTGATTTTGACAGTTAGTGGTTTTTATATACAATAAGTATAGTTTAAAGCTAAGCATATAAGCCTTTCAGTCAACTGCTGATTAGTGTATAAAGTGTTTAATAATGTTTTGTTTTAACTCTGTATTGTGTTAAGATTATGTAATGTAAAGCAGTAACTAATCAATGGTTAAAAACACTGACTTTTTGGCTAACAAGTTACAGGTTTGAACTCTTCTCCATGTATTTATCTCTGAGCAGCCAGGTGGCATCAATATGACGCCATTACAAACGGCACATTTCCAAACCCGATACATAAACCTGTACATGGTATATGAGTTATATTTAAAAGGATCTTGCTTATCTAGTTCACAGTGCTGATCAAATCCTATCTATTAAATCACACCACAGATACTATTTTAAGTAACTAAGCATTGTGTAGAGTCTATTTTTATGTCAGATAATTAGCTCATTGTATCCTATTAAAAACTCAACATTCCTTTTTATATGTTATTAGTTAATGCTACTCTCCCAAGTAATATTTTTGTTATTATTGTTATGCCTGTCTCTTTATTCTAGGTACTTTTGGAACTTGCACGAATCATATTTTCAGAACAACTTGATATAACTCGTCTTATTTATTCAGTATTATCACACACAATTTGTTTACTACAATGTCAACGTTGTCAATTACTTTTGGTGAAAACAACTTCATCTATGTCATCCTATTCTTCAATTGATGAGGTAAGTAATTAGTAGAAGGAGACTTTAAAAAAAATTTATTCTGATATATTCATTATGATATTTATAATGATGGGATTGACTTTATAAACAAACAAATAAGTGTTTAAAATCTAATTAAACTGGGTATTAGGCTCCTTATCAAGTTATATATTTACTTCTATAGATTTCTGCAAATTTCTGAGGTCGTTTTATCGTGGAGATTAATTGAGAAACACGAAAATATTATTGATTTGCCTAATTGTTGTTTAAGACTCGTCAGCAGTTCTGTTATTTGTTGTAATTAAATTAAGTAGGTGAATAAAAAAAATGAGTGATCATAGTTTATTGTATGGAAATTAATAAGGAAGTGTTGAATTCTATCTCTATGTATTCTAATCCACATATTTGATAAGTGCTAGTGAGAGTACATGGCTGACGAAGCTCAAGTAAACTGACCAGGTTTGGAACCTAGTCACCTCTCCAATATATATCATCTAATTTAATTCTGGATTGGTCTGTATCGTTATTTAGTTTATGTAAGGTGACAAGAAATAACTATCGTTTCTTTAACCCCGATATTTTGATTGGTTGTGATGTATTGGTCACCGATGGATTCATGACATGAATATACAGAAAAAGTTTTAGGATGTAGTGTTTACTGGTCTGCCAACAAACAAGGTGACTTCTCAATGTCCCATCATACTCTACAATTATAATACGTAACTTTTCAATAAAAACACGAATGGCTTGGATTTGTTTAATTAATGGAACGTTTGCTCCAAACTTGTCAAACAAATAGTCTCGAAGTCAACTCAGATTGTTTAAACTCACGTATTTGTTGATCATGATGAACTATACTGATGAATCGATGACATTTACGATAGAGCCTTTTGAGCTTATATGCAAAATTCGAAACCCAGTAATGAATAGCTAGTATCCTATTAGCGACCAGGTAAAAATACCGTATATATAATTCCTATAATGGTTAGAATCGATAAAATATATCTTTTTGGCAACCACACAGTGATTGAACTGATACAAAGGCTAACTTATAAATCTGCTTCTCTGACAGATTTTATCTGAGAGTATTTCATAAAGTTCAGTTCATAGTCGACGGTGTCTTCGTGGGCAAAATTTGTTTACTCCCAACCTTAGCTCATAACTGTAGCCCAATGAATACCTAACCATAAACCCTTTTTCGTTCACCTTATTAAATAACTCTATATACAAGCGTTTATTGATCACACGAAAATTGTTCATTAGTTGAAACGTATTATTTTTTATTATAAATCGTTATATAACTAAACACTTTCTAATTGGCTGGTAGGTCTCTTAAGGTTGTCAGTATAGTATACTTTTAGTATTGATCAGTTGGGGAAATTATGAATCATGATAATAACTGTAAATCATTTTGAGTCAAAATTTTCAAGTAGTGCGATGTTCTTAAATATATCAAACCTAATTAATATGTTCATATCTCAAACTGACCTTAGTTACGAAGTTCGTGAAAACCAGGGGTGGTTAAACAGCTATTTGGTCGTAGTATGAGACTCCTTCACAACAGCCTCATTCATGACCTCATCGTATATCGAATCTATGATATTCAGGTTATTGTGTGCTAAACCTTTAGATCACTGAGTTGGCATCTACTGTTTCGTGTTTATAATTTCTATCAGTTTACAACATTGAATAACCTACCGAGAAGGTCTTGGGCTTCTTAGCTGGCGGTTTGTGGATGTGCATTGTCAAGGAGTCGTGTACTAAAAAGAAATAGCCACCCAAAGCCTCTTGATTTCTAATAATTACCTAACTAAGGTCACTTTGTTTTGTAAACTGTGAAACTCAACAATCCCTAAAAACGTCTTTGCACTAATACTAACTAGTATTGTTTATTTTTACAAGAAAAAATACCCATTTTCTATCACATTTCATCTCGTTTCTTTCGTTATCTTCTTTCATAAAAAAATTAGTTACCTTTTGTTATATTATTTAACAAATAGATCGATACATCATTCTTTGATATCATCTTAATGCATTCGATTCTAAGTTGACCTAATTATTTATATCATTAAAAAAAGTAGAGAATGAATACTTGCACTTCAGAAATAAAACAAAAGGATGATAGAATAGATAGATAATGACTAGCATTGGAATGCACGACTCGTGTTTTGTCCTATTTACGACTCGTCATCTGGATGGATTTGCCACATCCTGGCGTTGATATTCACACCGAGACTCAAACCTAGTACCTCTCCAGTAGATTGAGTTGCTATTGTTTCGAACGAGATAGCCCCTAGCTTGTGCAATCGGTATGATTTAAACCTTGCCAACAGTGATATAATAAATTAGTTTTAACAACCTAATTTCCATTCTTCAGTCTTTATAAGTGCATAACTTTGGTGAATAAAACTGAAGCAGGAAAATGTTAAAAATCAGATTATCTTTCAAATATGAAAAAAAAAAGTTTTCAACAAAGGGTCGTTTGTTATAAGATAATGGTGAGGTTTAATTCATTGTTTATTGGTTGTTTGAATAAATATTAAACTTCACCCCATCGCACAAGCTAATGCTATATGGACTCAGTAGCTTATGAGATAGCACGATTGCGTTTGAAGCAAGCTGTACTGGGTTCAAGTTTCGGAGTGAAAATCGATTTTAGGATGCAGGTACATCCAGCTGACAAGTACCAAATAGGATGAAAAGCTTGTTCTGAATTCTACTGCTAAACACCATCCATCTCTGCTAATAACGACAAGTTGTTAATTTATGATTCGTTGTTGCTTAGCGATTGAAATGATATTTTTTGTTTATCTAGATTATATATAATTAGAAGGCTATTATTCTTACATATATATTTGAATATCTTAGCAACATATCGTTTCATTAAACACATCTTATTCACAATTAACAAGAATAGTTATTCTCATTTTTAAAATAGGGTAAAAACAAACAGTATTTCATTTAAAGAATTTCAGAATTATTTAATTCAGTGTTTAAAATAAGCTAGTCACTTACTGTAATAAATCATAGGACAGTAGTAATAATAGTAATAATAGTAGTAAATGTTTGTAGATAAATGAGTGTAACTAGTGAATGAATTAGTAATTGAAATTCTTTTCTTTTTAATAATTTCAACAAAGTCCTCTCATAGTGTGATAATTAAATTGATCGTTTCTTCGTTTTTTTCCATACTATTACAGATCAAACGATATGCGGATTGTGTTTCGATACAAAAGGTTTTTTTTTAAAATCTGTCACTGAAAACATGATGTCTTACGTTCTAATATTTTCAAGAGTTTTAGTATTGTTGTTCAGTCTGATTGTCAATACCACGCTAAAATGAGTCTAAATTAAAATTGAATTAATCAACTGAATCCTCATGAAATGTTCAATCTATTTGAATAATAACTGCTTAGTATAAATGGTAATTTTATGTTGTATCTGTCCTACATCTACACTGTAAATGAAATCTAGGTTCAACTGGATAACTTCATAGTACAATGTCTACTTCAAATATTTTGCGGTTGCTTAAATACTGCAATTACAAATGCTTGGCGACTAGTTACAGAGTAGAGTTGTCTAGTTGGCTAATCAACATTTGTCAATCTTCGTAGCACTACTTATTTTCAGTGTTAGAGTTATCTTAAATATTTTACGTTGGGCAGTTTGCGTTTATGTCTGGTGAACGATGTAAATTAATTTAAAATACAGTAATCTATTAATACATTTACAGCATATTAATCAATAACCCACAAATTTACAAAATTTTCTGACAGGCCATAGAAAACAAAAAACAGAATCATTTACTTGTTACCTACCAGTGCAGTTTGAGGGCTTTGCTTGTAGTCTGGGAAATCACATACCTCCTAAACTTAATTTTTTTCTCGATGTTGTTCAAAATACATGTCAGTAATCATAGCGATGTGTTATCTTTTTCATATTTATGTAGACAGTAAGACAAGCAGAGCCAAATAAAAAACAAAGTAAATAGAACCGTATTGTCATTAATTGATCATTTAATTGTGACCTATACAATGTCTGTCTAGTTCTTTAATTCTAATCGAGTTCTATTGATCGAGTTGAAGTGTAGCCAACAGTTCAAACGATTCAACACTGAGTGCACTATGCTGAGACGTTAATTGGTCGGAAGTTGTCAGATGGAAACTTTGGACCTAGGTTTCGTGCTAGTTGACACTCATCAGCAAAGTGTACTTGGAAACTTAGAGGGGCTAGTTCTCCCTTTGAAATTCCATATAAGTTGTGAGGTCAGTATTACCATCTCAGACTGTGAAGCTAGGTGATGTGGGCTGAAGTTCCATCGGTAGCACCAGTTTTCGGGAGGTTTCATTTGTGCCTTTGTGACGAGCGCCATGTTGCAAGATACCAAGATTTAGGGTATCCTGCTGACTACTACCAACCACTGTACAAATACAATTGTTTGTTATTTAAATGTATCCGTGTATGGCCATTTTCCTTCTCATCCACCAATTTGTCATGCGTTTTTTAACAGTTGTTTAACGAAGATTACTTCGTGATATAAGCCATGAAATTTCTTCTATTTTACCCGATGTAATAGATGATATTATTGTAAATATTACTGTCTACCAAACAGCATATGAATGTTTTTCTCTCTTTAGTGAATCACAAAATCATATCATTATCGTTATTGTATTTGGTTTTTACCTTATTGTCACAGCGAATGAGCAGTTAATGGGACAATTATCATAGTCGCGAATGTGCACTGCCAAGGAGTCCTATAATATAACGAAACCGCTATCAAATCCTTCCACCTTTTCAATGATGATCTAACTAAGATCAGTTCATGACATAAAATCTGTGAATATTAAAGTATTTTATTTATGGAAGTACAGTATTGATTTGATGTAATCATTGTGTATGCTTGTCAGCTAGAGACAACTTAGTGACTGAGAATAACTTAAATCAGTTCAGCTTAAAAAATTTATGCCTAATCTCAAAGCTGATAACTTTCTAGTTTTACCATAAACGAACAATACTCAGAT